TTGTGTGTGTTCAAGGGGATCTGGGAATGGTTTAGATTCACAATTTGAATAATAATTTTCATCAAAATGGTCCAGAATGTTTTAGCTTATTAAAAAAAGTTTGAAATTTTCAAATTAAAGACGTGTAGACAGGACAACGTCTGTCGGGTCCGCTAGTATATATATATATATATATATATATATATATATATATATATATATACCTACATATAATTTCATGTTTAGCGTTCGACGATTTGTTCATCGATGTTTGACCATATCATAGAAAACCTATAATATAGTCTCATTAACCTTAAATTGTACAGCAATGTAGGGGGAGTGAAGATAGTTGGTTTCAAACAAAAGATCTAACGAGAAGGCTAACATGGGAGCGAAGTGCAGTCTAGCTTTCACCTACCACGATGGAAATCGGATCTGCCATCAAACTTGAATTTTGTTAATAAAAATTCCTCCCGAGTCCTGTGTTCATATAAATACGTGTATCATTTCTTTAAAAGCCTTCCGGATATTTTAGTCAAAATTCGTCCTGCTCACAATATGGCAACCATAGATGAATAATAAATGACAGCATTCATACGTAGTAAGCTTTTTTAGTATGCAACTTGCTCGTGTCTTCACAGTAACTACGTGAAACTGGCAGAATATTTTACGCAGACGAACGCAATTTGGCCATTAATGAAAAAACAAAGATAATAATCATTCCTAAAATCAAGATACTTTTGAAGCTAATAAGTAGAAAATTCCTTCTTTAATCTCATAATTTTCCTTTCTTAAAATTTTAGCTTTTGGTATAACTATATAGTCTTATACGTATATTTGTTAGACGAACGCTTTGAAAATATAACTCAAAGCAAAAAGATTTATTGAAAGCATTAAAGAATTTTATAGTGGAAAAAGTAAATTGCTTTACATTTAGTAACTAAACTTATAAACCATAACAGCTTCACGCTTGCCCGATATTCAATGAATAAACTTAATTTATCTGGTGAAATTCATAATTTTTATTTCAATAATATTTGTTTCTATATACGATATTCATTTTTAATATTATAAGTAAATAATATAATTGATTTATTCGACTTTATAAAAGTAAGTGCTCATTTGTCAGTATTTTTTAATAAATCCAATTTGCCAATTGCCAATTGGAAACCATTTTTTTAATGAAAAGATCAATGGTAGTTTTATATAAGTTAAAAAAATAAATAAATGATTCTTGCGTCGTACAGTCACAAGCATAAATATATGACCATGGATATATAATCCAACAAAAATAACTGCATGTTTTATTCATTAACAGGCTGATTCAAAAATTCAAAATTCTGAATTCAAAATTTTCAGGATGACAGCAAAGACATGTTGAAGAAATAACAAAACATATACATACATATTTACCATTATTAAAAATATAAAATGTAATTGTTATTATTTTTTAAAACAAATACCTATTACAAATTCCATCTAAATAATTATTGAGTGTACTATAAAATATTCTCTCACAAAGGATAATTAAGAGCATTAAAAGAAAAGTTACCGTCATATTTTTTAACCTTTAACTTAAAATCAAATAACACTTATGTAATTGATTAAAACTTTGTTAATATTTACGAGGCTTATTAGTTATCAGAAGAAAGAGTCCTTCTAAAAACATTTCAAGGTTAATAATACCGAAATTATTAACGTAGACTAAACATTTACGACAAAATTAAAGTCTACAAATACGTAGGTATTTGTAATTGTAGGATAAATACATGCTTACGGTTGGTGCTTATTTTTTAGATTAAAAAAATGTCAATAAGTCAAATTAATCTTTAGTCTAGACTCTAGTCTAATATACCCCCAAACATTCCTTAAATTCTTCCTCTAAAAAGGTTCCATCAATTTGATTTAAGTATTATGAGTATATTATGTAATTAAAGATAGCTGATAAAAATTGAAATACATACCGAACGAATATATTTTATTTTCTTAATTTCCCTTCTGTAAATCACTCGCATTATCCTCTTTGTAGTACTTAATTACTCTTTATCCACTTATAATTCCATAAATTGCGTATAAATTATACGAAAAGAAAATATAACATTAAAAAGATATAAATCAAGCGCGGATCCAGTCCTCAAAAAAGATTGTTGCCAGTATTTGACAAAAGTTCTTTTTTAATTTACAAAAACATTGAATATAGCATTTATTCCCTTTTAGATTTAATTGTATTTTTTTTATTAATTTCAATAATTACATTGATAGTTAGTTCGTAAGTCTGTGTTAAATAAAATATAAAGTATGTTGTGGCACCTTAAAATGTTTTATTTTTTATTTTCAGTATTAAGTTTTTAAACAAATAATATTTCAACAACTGTGTGTACTGTGTCCATTAAAAAAATCAATAACCATCGATCATAATTTAATAATTATTATGGTAGTGGGCATGCTTACCGTGCCCTTAATGGTACAGCCGCGCTTAATATCCATGCTGTAACAACAATATTAATAACATTATTTACTAGTTTTAATTAAACTATAGTAAAAACATCAATTAGGTACTATTACCATCCCCCCCCAACGTGCGTTCACCTTGTCGTGGTGGGGGGGCTCAGTAGTGCCCGGCAATCCAACCGGGCGCGAAGCTAAGAAACGCACAGGGAGGTTGCCCACTTCGGTGGGCGGTGGGAGGTGGCCCTCTTCGGGGGGCGGTGTACCATGCGGGTTGCTCCTGGTACTTCTCTGATAGCAGAGTGGACTGTGGAGCAACCCCATGGTTGTGGTGGTCTGCTTCGGCAGACCTGCCGTCGGGGCGTCGTAGTTGAATGCGTAAGCGATCCTGCGACGCCCCATTAAGACGGGGGAAGGTTTTGTTGGGTTTTAGTGGGTAGTACTGGCTGTATTACGTCGGTGAGTCCCACACGTCGTGCGTAAATGCATTTCCCAACGTTAAAAAAAAAAAAAAAAAAGGTACTATTACCATCAATAGTAATATTTTATAAATATTGATTACTAGCGGCTCACCCTCGCTTCGCTCAGCATCGTCCTTAGGTACGTTTTGACGCTTAGTATGGAACAGTTTTTTTTTACTTTTTTTCGTGATTTTTTTTCAATGTTTTAATAGTTATTCTGCTATTCGGGGTGAAGACAAATCCAACAAAACAAAGATCGTAAAAATCGGTCTAGCAGTTTTCGAGTTATAATAAGTGCTGTAACAAAACCTCCTTTATATATATATATATATATATATATATATATATATATATATATATATATATATATATATATATATATATATATATATTATTTATATTATATTTGTTATACTCGTATATAGATGCACATATTAAGAAGGTACCTTAAGAATCCTACCGGAAAATGATAGTAATAGTAACATGTTATCTATAGACTATACTATTATTATAGAGACTAAAAGTTTGAGAGCTTGTGAGATTGTGAGTTTGTGACGTTGTAGGGGGTAATTTCTGGATTTACTGAACCGATTTAGATGAAATATGGTAAGAAGATAGTTTGAGACTGTGGAAAGGACATAGGATACTTTTTATCCCGGAAATAATCCCGAACGGGGTGAAAATAGGCATGAAATTTTGTATTGGCAATCAAGCTAGGGACGAACTCGATCGAAGCGAGGGTGAGTCGCTAGTTAATTATAATAGTACCTACTGCTTAATTATAATTTATAAATTATCCTAACATATCATTTTCACTGTACTGTAGGTACTCCTTTTCAACTATAAACTTTATTTTAACTGCTGTTGTAGATATATACAATATATTATGTATATTGATTGCGAATACACACAAAAAAAGTTTGTGTCAAAGTTGCAAGTTACAAATATGAACCGGACTCTGAATTATAAATATTTTCAAACAGTATTATTAAATAAATCAATGTGAAACGAAATTCTGTTTCACTGTTCTAATTGTGTTACTGCCGGATAGCTATTGGAAAAATCTAAATATACTCGTATACTCGTATCATATGCTCTCAAAGCTATCTAAACACTGCGTTAGTCTTAAGTTTGTAACTTTTAAGGTTTCCGAGATTTGTCACTTTGAACGACAGTCACAGTTACGCTTATTTTTTTCATATCTCAAGATCAAAACGGAGTACGGTAATAAAACTCATATGAACCCCATTTGTACATCAAGCCCATATTGAAACATAAATTTCAAATTAATTAAGTGATATAAAACATTTCCTCTAAGTAATCTCTTTCAAATGTACAAAATATTTAATTTATAATTATATTATTATTTATTAGCGTTCCATTGTATTACGTATAAAACTGGCTTCATTCACTATTATTTATAAATTATTATGTTTACATTTTAGTTCTAAATATTTACTTCTTTATCAACTGTTTACAGTTTTGTGTACGTTAAAAATAACTTACAACCATAGTTTATGCGAACAAAAAACACCACGTAGCACATTATATGAAAAATTGGAACATAGTTAATATCTCAACAATATAATTTATCAACACTCTATGTTCACTCTATGTACAACTTAGATATATAAATACCATGATATTTAAATAAAGATATCTATACATATAATAAAATTCTAACTAAGCCGAATCTGTACATTAAATATTTTTTGGAAAAGCTAATTGAAATAGACATTATTATCCAAAAAGAGGCCGAATCTATAGCTTTTAGAATTTTTGTCTGTCAGTCTGTCTGTCTGTCTGTCTGTTATCGCATTACGAGAAAACCACTGAACAGATTTTGATGAAATTTGGTATGATGATAGCTGGTTATCCGGGTCAACATATAAGATACTTTTTACCGCGGGAAAATCTCATTTCTGGAAAAAAATACAAAAACTGCATTGTAAGAGTATACTAATATGTAAAACCTAAGAATTTGGTTGTTGGTCATCTGAACGCGGGCGGAGCCGCGGGCAATGCTAGTAATTACATATACAGGAACTATAATTATTATAAAATAGTGTAAATTCCATACAAATCGACATATTTATATATATTAAAACTTTATCGGAATTGTGTGCGAATCGACAGCGCTCGTACAGGCGGTGTTGACGTGACATGCCTGGATAGAGCAGTAGCACGGCGGGACGACGTGTTAGAGGAGCACGTAGCGTGATAAGGCCGACTTGCACAACTGCTGCTGGTGCCACGACGAGTTACTCCAATCAACTCTGTATTAAAAAAACATCTTATAATCCATCAATCTAAAAACTACGATAAAAATAGAGTTAAATCTACACTTATATTCTACACTAACATTACAAAATGGTAAAGTTTGTAAGTTTGTATGTAGGGTCAAGAGGGTACAGTTTTTGAAACTGAACTGAGCTGATTCTGAAAATTCTTTTACTAATAGGAAGCTACATTACCGCAGAGTGATATAGCCTATAGGCTTTGTTTTATTGTTAGTAAAAATTTTCTTACAGGAAATCATAATAATGTCGCTGATCGATTTCAGCCACGAGCTGAGACTAGAGCCAGATGTGTAGGAAATATTATATTGCTCAAGTGTACACGCAGACATAAGTGCACTCTCTTTTCTTGTCCCTCTCTAAATCCGATGGAACGATACTTCGACACGACCTGTGAGAGCTAAGGCACAGAACCGATGGCTTTACGTGCTCTCCAAGACACGGGGGTGAAACACCGGTAACTTCCCAACTCCGGGTTGTTACTGAGAATATCATAACAGAAAAACTCAGTAATTAAACTTGGCCCGACCCGGGACTCGAACCCAGGACCTCCGGATCTGCAGCCGTACATCCTAGCCACTAGACCACCGAGACAGTTAATCATATTCTCTTTAATTCTATTCAGCCCTTTTTACCGTCTCACTGCTGGGCACGGGCCTCCCTTCTTTCTATACGAGGGGAATCGGGCCATAGTCCACCACGCTGGCCAAGTGCGGATTGGCGGACTTCACATGTCTTTTGAAAACTTGGTAGGTTTCCTCAGACATGCAGGCTTCCTCACTATTTTCCTTCACCGTAAGACAAGTGGTAATCGAGTTAGAAATGATTCGCACATGAAGATAGAGATGCTAGACCCGGAATTTGAACCCGCTTCTCGCGGTTTCACAAGTGAGCGCGTTACCACTGGGTTACCCCTGCCAGGGCTATCGTTAATTGAAGTCGGATAAAATTGGTCGTCAAGTTGTTTTATCGTCATGTGCTACCAAAACGGTATAATAAAACAATAACAATCTTATGAATACAAAAGACACCTAGGGACTTACCAGTCAGCTGGGAGAAGCGAGAGTAAGTTGGAATTAAAAAATTGTATATATTTTTGTTTTGACACTTTATTAGTTATTTCAAAGACCCACACACAATTTATAATCTAGTGTACACGTCACAACATAATATGAGATGACAAAGGTCACGAAAATTGGTTTTTAGTAAATATCCTGTTTTCTTTCCTGTATAATATTTGAAGTTATTACAAAAAATCTCTACTTTAATCTTGGGCAATATTTTATACGATCAATCGTTCTTGAGAAGGAGCCCTACGAGTGAGAAGCGCTGAACCGTATGTACCTACTTACCTAATGTTAAATCAACTGTGTTATTCAATTCGAAATATATTTTTTGAAGTTATTTATATACCAAAATAAGTATAACTATCAAAAGAACTTACTTAATAGTTATATATTAGGTAATAATTAAATATAATATTATATATTACATAAAATATGTTTAGCAATTTTTACTTAAAATAGTAAAGTATATTTAAATTCGGTATAGCATTTTTTACATTCATAGTCATTACATTACTATCGAATGAAATATGCATTGTCCTAGAGACCTAGACTGCGTTTGTATAAAACTGCGCTCTACAATTTTTTTATGACTTGATCTTGGACGCTGATAACCTGTGACGCAACGTACACGAGATTATATAAGACTTTTGAGCAATTAAACGGGCCAAAATAAAGGTATAACCTTAGATTATTTATATGTAATAATCTAAGGGTATAACCATGAACGAATTAACCACTCGTCCATGGGTATAACATATAAGTTTGTAGCTTATTGTTTATCATTCTAGGAGGTCTATTTGACCGGACTAAGGTGCACCTTTCCAACTTCTTTTAAACGCTAAAGTTATGCAAATAAACAAGCAAAGTGCAGGTGTTCAAATGTGACCCCCCCAACGTGCGTTAACCTTGTCGTGGTGGGGGGGCTCAGTAGTGCTCGGCAATACAGCTGGGCGCGAAGCCAAAAAACGCACAGGGAGGTAGCCCACTTCGGTGGGCGGTGGGAGGTGGCCCTCTTCGGAGGGTTGTGTACCATGCGGGTTGCTCCTGGTACTTCTCGGATAGCAGAGTGGACTTTGGAGCAACCCCATGGTCGTTGTGGTCTGCCTCTGCAGACCTGCCGTCGGGGCGTCGTACTTAAATGCGTAAGCGATCCTGCGACGCCTATTAAGACGGGGGAAGGTTTTGTTGGGTTTTAGTGGGTAGTACTGGCTTTGCCGGTGAGTCCCACACCTCGTGCGTAAATGCATTTCCCAACGTTAAAAAAAAAGGTGTTCAAATGTGAAAGTGGGATTGTTTATTATAACAATAACTAAATAAATAAATTAAAACACATATGACAAATATAAATCAGATGCTATATATAGCATATGATTTATATATACTTATACTTGTAAGTTCTCATAAAAACTTTATGTAGATGTTCTGAGCAATAGTTGTTTTTACGACTTTCTCGCTACATGTATCTATTTATATGTTCAATGATAAAATGTATTGAATGATATACTCGTATGTATATATATATTTGTAATGATAGTATATACGTAGATTTTATGACTGTACCTAATGTCCTTATAATGTTTGAAATTGGGCAAAATCTCAATTTAACACATAACATTTAACATTTTTTTCCATATACTTCTTCTACAAAATCTTCTTTTTCGCCTATTCATATAATATTAATTATATAGTAGAAGGTCTTAATTGCTAGAGTCACTTGATATTGTAGTCGACAATTCTATGAAGAATGAACGAATACAGTCGAATTTGGGTAACGTCGTGTGCAAAAAAAAATTTGATCATTTATATCCTCGTTGGGTTTGATTGAGTACGCAAGTAGCAGTACGCAAGCAGCGGTCGCGTCCCAGACGCATAGTTCATAAATAACTCCGTGGGAAAAGACCTAAATAAAAATGTTTTGTTGCCCAGTAACGATTCCTGCAAGATTTAACATCTATTGTACGAGTCTATTATCGTACAATCCGGCTTTTCATAAAAATAAAAAAAAATAACAAGAATCTATCGAATAGGTTGCTTTTGCTCAAGTTTCTTTTTAGAAACGTATACTATATTTTTAGTTTAGATTTCGTTCTCCTCAAATTAAAGATTATACAGGTAATAAAGTCATTTTTAAAAAATAACACCAAAAATATTAGTTATCAATGATACGCTATTGACATTAGTTTTGTTTATTACTGTTGTATTGCATACTTGTATCACAGACACAATACTATAGTAGTATCTCTAAATAAATAAATAAATTAAATTTGAAATAAACCATAAATGTCTAACATTTATGTAAGTAAAGCATCAAGCAAAGAATATAAGTGAAGTAAGAGTACCTGACATTGGGATACCGTTACACACACTCGACCTCGGCCCCAATCGTGACGGATGTTCGAGCCGGACTGGCAAGAAACTTCCTAAAATCTAAAAGAGGGGTATTTTAATTATTACAATTATTATTTATTAACATTTAAAAACAAATTATTTTAATTATTAAATTTAGTTTCTTAGATTTACGCGAAAAGACATTTTAAATTTTAAACAAAATTATCTTTTTGGATTTTTATTCAAGTTTATTTTGAATTTTGGTTCTCGAGATTTGAATGCTTTACAGCAGTCATGGTCACTGCACAGACGTGACGAAGTTTTTAATCAATACGACGACGATATTAATATTAAATTTAGTGTTTTTATAATATACCTACATATTTTAGATATTCTTAGTTGTAAGCTCATTTTGTAATGCTAAAAATTTTTAATATCTTGATAAATGCTTTTTAGAAACTCTTAATATCGTCCCCTGGGCATTGTGAGGTATTTTTTATTAAAAAATATATTTTATATAAAATTATATCATAATATTATGTTCATACCAACTAATATTGTTAATATACCTACTGCATACCCACACCACGCTAAATTGATTAATTTTCTACTATCTGAAGGCTTTCTGGAAGAAATGTCTTGAAGAAATAAGTTATCTCTGCCTACACGTTTTTCCTTTATTTTGTTAATAAAGATGATGTTTATGGCAAATAATTATTTATGTAATAAATAATAAAAAAAATATTAATACGAAACTAATTGAATAATGTCGAGGCTATTATTAATTTTATGTACTTAATTGTTAATTCGAATAAATAATTATATGTATAAAATTAATAAATGTGGCATTTAAAGCATATGCTTTACCTGTGTAAATCCCCGCCGGTACCTGGCGTTCATGTAGCAGTATATGATGGGGTTGTAGCAGCAGTGCGACATGGCTAGCCAGTGCGCCACGAACCACACGTAGGGCATGCCCGGCCACGTCGCCCACGCCTCGTCTGTTTCGTGGACTGTCCATAAAATCTACATCAAACATTAATTAATTCTTTAAAGAAAATTCTCTTCTATAAAAAAGATTTTTTTTCCATTCACTAATAAACAAAGTTTTTATCAATTACTATAGCTTTCTTGACGCTTAATCTTATTAGATAAGAATATTCCTCATCTTGTCAGATCTTAGAATCTTATTAGGGATTCGAAATTTATGTTATAGACAACGTTTAAAAGTCGTTAAACTTTTGATCTTATTTGGTAAGCACTACTGACTACACACAATAATTATAATAACTAGTGTTCGTCCAGTGGTCGAAATTCGACCATAATCATTATTGAAAATTTGAGGAAAACATATATGAATAGAACAAAATTTACCTATCTATATAAGAAAACAAACTGTTTTCTAATTATTTATTGAGTGTGTAACATAAAATAAATAAAATTGTACTAGTAACGTGATGTACCTATGTATATGATAAAATAAAAAACTCACAATAAATATATTGAGTGGAAGCCAACACACAGTAAAGACGATTACCACTGTCACCATCATTTTAATCATCTGTAAAGAAAAAAGCTTTTGTTGGTCTACAATCTACATAATTAAATCCACAACAACCTTTTACTTAATTGTTAACTTTAAACTTAATTGTCTAGAATAAAATAATAAATTTAGTTTTTAAGTTAAAAAGGTCTAGCTATAGCTTATACAACCTTTCGTTTAGAATGTTGAATGCGCATATCTCTTGCAGTTTGCGCCTCTCCTGGTGGTCGACCGCCCCATACCACGTGAGCTATTCGAAAGTAAGTACACACTAACGCAGCTAGCGGTAGCCCAAATTGAAGGACCATAAGTGCGCAAGAGTATTGCTCGCTTTGTCCCGCTCTATCCCACTGTTCTAGACAAACATCTCTGTAAATTAAATTAAAAATAGTTAAAAAATATTAAGAAAATTGGTAATTGATATCAACTACGCATTGAGATAATTTTCAAGTGAAGTCTTACAATAATTCAAAGTATTAGGTTTGTATTTGTGTGCCTGTTTGTTATTCCTTCACGCTGAAACGGACGTTTCGGATTTGTTTTTTTTAATTACTAATTATAAATACAAAATGCACCCCGAGATGCATCCGAGCGAAGCGTGGATAAATCGCTAGTGTAAAATAAATAAAAACTGGCAAAAATGATAAATAATAATGTAGTGATAATTACTATGTGTAGAGTATATACATATGTTACATTATACTTACGCTTTACAATACTCATGCCATTCAGTCGGTCTTTGTATTTGCGATACAATAAAAATAGGAGCCGCTGTTGACAAAGCTCCTCCCCAAACCGCTGTCACCACTAGCTTAGCAGCAGTTGTGCCTAACCTAGGTCTAAGAGGCCTCATAATTGCCATATATCGGTCAATGGATATAGCTAATAGAGTGTATGCACTAACTAACACTGACACTGCCTGAGAATAGTTAACTATTTTACACATAACAATGCCGAAAGGCCAGTATCTGAGCACTAACATTGACACAAAAGAGAAGGGCACACAAAACAGACTCATCAAAATATCTCCAATGGCTAAGTTCATTATGAAATAGTTGGTAACAGTCTTCATCCGCGGCGAACTCTGCACTACGAAGCATACTAGTCCGTTGCCGATTAAAGCAATAATAAATACAGTGCAGTACATTAAAAATACACAAAACTGAAATATTGGTGTTTCTAGGAAGCTGCCAGATGACATTGATGAGCAAATTTCATCGTTGGACAATGCATTTGTTTCGTTGAAACTCGTTAAGTTATAATCTTCAGCATTTATAATATCATTATCATTAATTTTTTTATAGAAAACACTTTTATTAAAATCATTATTTTTTAAATTTTCGTAAGTATCAATCATCATGTGTCACATTTTCGGGCCCCGAAAAGCTAAATACTTCCTCCTGCACCACCACAGAGTACCATAAGGAGCTGAAACAATTAATAATGTTTAGTAGAATTATTTGATCGAGGGAGCGTATTGTCTCTGCTTCAAGTCTGGCAAAATTTACATTCTTCTGTCAGTGTTTTAGAACTCCTCTACAGGACGTATTTTACAACCGATCTGGACTAAACTTGGTATACAGGTTTTACGACTTTAGATTTTTTTACTGTCGGAGATTTTGATTAGACTTACTTCCTCCAAAAAGGGGCAAAATAGGGCTACTGGATATGTCCGTGTTATGAGATCTGATTTCGGTGATTCTTTTTTTAATTAAAAGGTAGTAACTTTAAGTTGCAAAATAGCTCCTCAAAATGCAATAAATTATTCACATAACTTTAGGTATATTAATTGTTGCAAAAAAGTTTGTGCTTGCGAAGTCTACTGTTTGCAGAACTACTAATTATTAAGTGTCACATTAGTAACTAGAAAATATAAATATTGAAATTGGTTAATGTTGGTAGTTCAGGTAAACTTTGCGTGTCTGGAGGAATTTATTCGTAACACAACGCAAACGTGACGTAAGCAATGTGGGCCAACGGTCGTAATTCCTACCAGTTTATGAGGACAAGAAGTAGAACTCTACAAAACATTTATCACTATGTATGTACATACATGTATCCTGTGAGCACAAAGTTGCCAAATTTCAAGTAAGATATTGCATATTTTAATTAAAAAAATTAGGTCTTTCGAATGGGCTTTTCGAACTATCTGTCTATTTAGTTTGTTTTAACAAGTCTAATATGCTACACTTGAGTTCGTGAGTATTATTAGTAGTGCTTTATCGACAGTTTTAGTTTCTTAGTAAAATTTATTTTCAATATACCTATTTACTAAATATCAAGTAGTGAGTGCTCTAAGCCGATTTAAAGACATTAAAATATAAAAAAGCACAGTGTTACCTTTAGGACAGGTAGCTCGTCATATATTTTTGAAGTTGTGCCTACCGGGGCAAAACAAAAAATTTTGAATTAATTTAGTTACGAATAAAAGGTAAAGTTAAATTAAAGTTGTAAGATACACATAATTTTACAATTAAATTCCCTTTGCCTTGTTCAATTTTTTCTTATTTTAATGCCTTATGTACATTTTGTGAAAGTTTTTATTAAGGTTGAACATTTGATACTAAGACAAATAGCTTAAAATATTAAAATTATTATTAAGCTTTCTTCTGAAACTGGTATAACAAATAAAATATTAGTAGGTGTATAGAAATTAGGTATATTTGCAGATTTTTGCAATTCATGTCGTTTAATGTCCCTAGTAACTCATGTCCACGTGTGCATGTCTTTCCATTTAGTGCGCTATCACTAAGCGGGGGTTTTCATTGTAAACCTCACTCCATATGCAGTTCTAATTGCAAAAAACGAAGAGCTTAAGCTGTGACTTTCTTTTTATTTCTGACAGGCTATTAAGGAAAGTAATTTTTGTTTTAAATTGTGTTTTCTTATTAACATCGTACTTTTATTTATTCGAATATAATATTACCTAACACTTGTAGTCATATACATCTAAAATCTTAAATTGTACCAAAAATACCAAAAGTATTTTGGAAAAGAAAGAAGTGACGGATGTCAAAACATTAATTATTTTTATCCGTAAAATTTAAAAAACTCTACTACGCGCTCTTTATGCCCCGAACGCATCGCGGAGGGGCTTATAGAATTTGTACCTAAATAGAAAATAATTTTCAATTTTTTATTGGATGACCCGGTCAGAAATGATCTCCGATCACAATTTTTTTTAGAAAAGCCCCTGCTTACTTTGTAATTTAGAGGCTGTTACGATGAAAGTTAAAGCATAAACTACGAGGATATGTACCTAACTGGCTTACAAAACTATCTTAAATTGAAATATCCATTAATTAGAAATATATTATGAGTAATGTGTTATAGTACACCATGTTAAGCACACAGATACACGTTAAACTTATCACTCCCCTCCTAAATCCTCCCAAAGATAGTGGTAGGTTTACAATAATCATGGGGAGAACCATGACATCTTATTACAAAATTGATGTTATATTTTAGGATAAATGAGGTAAGAATTCGAAACCTAATAGCATAAAATGATCCCTTCTAATTAATTTTCTAAATATGTAATTTAATATTAGATCCTCAAACACTTTTGATGAAAGATGACAACTACGAATCTGAAGGAAAAAGGAAAACGGAGAGTGTATCATCAATCGAATAATTTTTGCTAGCGCTGAGATTAATACCGTTTAGAAATCTACATATTATATAATTTAAGACAATGTACTTGGAACTAATAAAACCAAGACACGGTTACTCAAAAATCGTCTTTCATTGAATATACTAATTTCGACATAGTCATAATGTAACTGAACTGGTACATTTCATTGTATTTTCGTATTTTTTGCTAAATTATTTCTAGAAGAGCAGAGCTACCCACTGATTTTGCATTTTTAATTGTGTGTCGTTTGAATTTTGTTGAAGAGAGGATTATGTTGTCTTTGTTTTAAAATTTAACTCTATTTGAGTGTGCACGTGTCATGAATTGTTTATAAAATTGAAGTCTTCATTCAAGTTTGGAGAACATTTGGATTTTAGGAAATATTTAAATAAATATATCGTCATAATTTTTTTCCTGAGACATGTCTTTTGATATTTTTAGGTTCTTGAGTCTTCATGAGGATGGTGTCTTTAGTTTCCAACTGGCATTGTTATGTAATTATGAATCCTGGTTGGCCAATTTTATAAATTCATATTTTTTCTTATGATTTATTTAAAAATGAGGTAGCCCAGTAGTAACCAGCTCGCTTGGGAAACCGAGTGAAGCGAGTTCAAATCCCGGGTCTCGCACCTCTGATATTTTCATGTGCGAATCATTTCCAACATGATTATAACTTGTCTTAACGGTGAAGGAAAACATCGTGAGGAAACCTGCATGTCTGAAAGAACCTAGCAAGTTTTTAAAAGACATGTGAAGTCCGCCAACCCGCATTTGGCCAGCGTGGTGGACTATGGCCTGATCCCCCTCGTACTGAAGAGAGGTCCGTGCCCTGCAGTGGGACGTTAAAAAAAAAGGGCTGAATACAAACCTTCCTCTTGAATCACTCTATCTATTAAAAAACCCGCATCAAAATCCGTTGCGTAGTTTTAAAAATCTAATTATACATAGGGACAGACAGACAGCGCGAAGCGACTTTGTTTTATACTATGTAGTGATGAAATATTATGTAAATCCCATGAAAAACATAACATGTAAAAAAATGCAAGACTCGCAATGCAGTTCTTCTACCGCAAAATGTTTTGAGGTCTAATGTAAAACCAAGTCGCTTAATTTGTTCAGTACCTGTTCAAGTACATATATGTACCGATGTATGTACATTACCTAACGACATAAAAGGGTGCAAAATATTTTATTGGATAATGCTATATTTCTTTTTATACAAAATATATCCTTGATCGAATTACGATCAGTCATCTACATTCTACACGGAAGATATAATATTCTACCTTCACAATCCGACATGGCAGGGGATCAACATGATAAAAACATAGGCCTGACGTCTAAAAGTACTCCTCTTTTTTTATATAAACACCAAACATTTGTTGTTAAATAATAAATAAAATAAATAAAACTATTTTTTCTTTGGGAGTGTCTCTCCCGTGCCCATGAATGCTGTAAAGCATTCGAAACGTCGGGAAACAAAAATCCAAATAAATCCGCGACAAAATCCGAAAAGATACTTTTATTTAAAATGTCAAATATTCGCGTAAATTTAAGAAAGTATTAAATAAAATAAATAAAACCAAACCCACTCGGTACTTGAACCCAGGAAATACACAATTCCAAAACTAAAAACGACTAATATTATTTTATTTCGGAAGATTATCTATCTCGGAGATTATCTAATTCTCACAGGAAAACCCGTTATAATACAATCCAAAAAAAATGTGGTCAGAATTACTTGAAACTTGGTACTAATGCTCTTCAATCAAATTAAATAAATACGTGTTTTAGCATTTTTTGAAATTCATTCTATAAGGGAGTAAAATAGGGGATAAAAATTTGTATGGAACTGCAGGTCGGATATTAATAGATTTTAATTACATAACCAGATTTTTTATATAATTTATAAAAATCTATAAGTTTATTAGGTCAAAATAAAAATATATTATTATAAATGCCATAAACGTGTGTTCATTCCTCATACTGGAATAAACAACATTAACTCTTTCATCAAACGAATAAACATTCTTAATCCTCAGAAATCAGAATAGTGATTTGTTTATAAAAATGTTATCAGCATTACGATGAATAATCGCAGCTTTATATTATAATATGTAGATCCATATGTGTATCACGCACGTCGGCCATTTCACAGAATTCAGAAGATCTTACATTTTTATGAAATGGCAGCATTTCATGAAATATTACCTACTTTTTAGAATTGAGATCGTTTTTACTTGCATATTAACTAGTAAGAATGAACCTTTTTTTAGTGTACTGTATCTGTCACAGGCATATCGTTTAATTTGTCTTTTTACAAACGGCGCCATCTGTAGGTAAACACTCGCGGGCTTATAAAATGCCGAAGATAAAAATTAAAACAAGAAGAAAGAAGATAAAAAAAAGTTGAATTGTAAAATACAACATTGTGAGTAGAAAGGGATAAAATCAATTCGAAAAAAATCCGAATTAAAAAAAAAGGAAAGATTAATACGGGAGCTAAACTCTACCATTTTTTTTACTTTTAACGTTCTGAATTACATTTACGCATATCACCTGTATACATATAGCCATAGGTTATGTGTTACTCACAGACATTATAACCTATTGTCTGTGGTGTTACTCAACCGGTCACGGGCAAGAAATGGGCTAACCTAACCTAACCAAGAGGTTGCTTCCTGGGTCCACTCTGCTATCAGAGAAGTACAAGGAGCAACCCGCAT